TTAAGATGAACAAGATGAATAAATGGTATGAGAATGCTTCCTGAGAGGTTAATTTTGTTGTTAGATCTAATTTTAGTTAATATAAAATTATGTTTTTCAATGTGATAATGGTGTAAAACGAAAATTGAAAAAATAAATTATGTACTATAAATTAAATAAATAATTATAAAAGTATAAAATATAAATATTAAAAATATTAAAAATATTTTTTCATATTATATATAATATATAATAATATAATTAATTCAAAAACTATTGAATATTGGACTTATTTCGAAGGTATTAACGAGACGATTATAATGATGTGATTTATTAAAATAAAAATGCATTTTTTAAACATGTTATAGTTGATATATAATTATGTGCGTTAATTTAATAAGGGTGTAAAATGAAAATTTTAAAAGGAAAGGATATAAAGTAAATTAATTATCTAATTATAATTATATGAAATGTAAATTTAAAATTAAATTTTTAAAAAATTCGATGAATGTGAGGGTGTGAGTGAGGGAAAGATGTGAGGAGGAGGGGTGGGAAGTGACGTCAGGGGTGGGGACATTGAAAAACCTATCTAATCCTAATCACCGACGAACACAAGTTGTATTCATTAGCAGCAGAAGAAGACATCAAGTAATGTATCGTCTTCTCCAAAGAATCATTAAAGACCTCCATATCTGATTACGATATGATCCCTGCAGCAACCCTAATCGCCGATGAACACAAATTGTATTCATTAGCAGCCGAACGATCATGTCGTCGTTTTTCTCTTGCAGAGATTCAATCAGCTACCTTAAACTTCGATGATCAATTGGTCATCGGAAAGGGAGGGTTCGGGAAGGTTTACAAAGCTTATCTCCATGGAAACACAGGTACACCTGCTCTTGTTGCCATCAAACGTTTGGATTCTTTCTCAAGTCAAGGTCCAAATGAATTCATGACCGAAATCGAGATGCTTTCCAAGTTCCGTCACTGTAATCTTGTGTCTTTGATCGGGTATTGTTCGGATGGCGACGAGAAGATACTTGTTTACGAGTATATGCCGAATGGAACGATCGAACATCATCTCCACAAAGCTCGTACGCCTTTATCTTGGATGGATCGACTCAAAATCAGCATTGGTGCTGCACGAGGATTAGATTACCTTCATACTGGTGTGGATACCCAACATGGAGTCATACATCGTGACGTCAAGAGCTCAAATATTCTGCTAGATGAGAATTGGGCAGCTAAGATTTCGGATTTTGGGTTGTCGAAAATCGGTCCAACGGATCAACCGTCTTCTTGTGTTAGTACACTTGTTAAAGGCACTTTCGGGTATCTGGATCCGGAGTACTCCATGACCGGCCATTTGACAAGAAAATCCGACGTTTATGCATTTGGGGTCGTACTGTTTGAATTGTTATCCGGAAGGCGAGCAGTTGATCGGAGTTTTGATGAGGACGAGTGGGGGTTGGTGAAATGGGCTCAACAACGAGTTAAAGAACGAAGATTGGATCAAATAGTTTGTTCTCAAATTTCGGGACAGATTTCTCCGAAATGCTTGAAGGAATTTGCACAAATTGCGGATCGTTGTTTGAGAAGCTCTCGAAGAGATCGGCCTACGATGGCGGAGGTTGTGGTGGCTCTTCAGTTGTCAATGGTATTACAGCAGCAGTTCATCACTTCAACTCAGCTTGCAGGTGCAATGGGATTCACCAATATAATGCAGAAATATCTAGTTTTCAGGACATCGAGGGATAACGAGCATAGTGTCGATTTTGAGCAATCGATGAGTCAAGAAGTTAGGATATATTCATATAGTGAAATGGAGGTTGCAACTAGGAATTTCAGCAGTGAAATGTTGTTGGGAAGTGGAGATTTTGGGGAAGTTTTTAGAGGGTGGCTTGATAAAAAGACATATAAGCCCTCGAAGCTCGATAGCGGATTGGCCGTTGCCGTTAGGAGACTCTTTTCGAACAAGTTTGAACCTCATAAGGTAAAAGAGGTTGATCATTGCTCCATAATTTGAGTCCAGTTTTCAGTTTTGGAATACAAAAGTGACAGATGTCTTAGTTTTTGATCTTTTCGAAATCTGTTTTCATGTATTGTTTCACATATGAAACAACAAATGTGAAAATGTTGTGTTTACAAAGTGTTGTTTCATATGTGGAACGTTCAGGACTGTTCTCTATGTGGAGAAAAACGGTCCCCAATGTTCCGTTCTTAATTTCAATCGGTTGATACTTTCTGAGCTGGATGGCTTTTAATCCCTCTTCATCATGTTTGGATGCAGTTGAAAATGAAGGTCTTGGAAGAATTTAAAGATGCCAATGTTGTTAAGGTCTTGGGGTATTGCATCGAAGGAGATTCGGTACTTATTGTTTACGAGTTCATGCATCAAGGAACCTTGAAGAATTACCTGTTCAGTTGTAAGCCGAACCTTAGCATATAAATAAGCTAGTTGTTAGCTGATAAATTAGTCATGTTTGGTAAAACTAGCTGGTAAAATGACCTAAAAGAACATGTTAAAAAGCTTAATTGGAAAAATATGGAAAAAGACCCTTAGAGCTTATTGAAACGCTACCTCAAATAGTATTTCAAAAAGCTAGCTTATGGTTACAGAAGTTGGGCTTTTTGAACAAACTTAGAAAATATGTTATCTTCGTTGCAGCTGAGGGGAGGACAGAGCGACACGAATTGATTACACGGGTTAAAATCGCGTTAGGAGTTGGTCGAGGCCTTGTTTTCTTGCGTACTCAGGCTCAACTAGCGGATTGCTCGTTGCAGATGCACAACATCTTGCTGGATAAGGTACTTCTTGAACCAATTAAGCACCCGATGAAGTCGATTCCTTCAAACAACTAAACGATTCGTTGATTTCTTTTGTTTGCTGACTAAAATGTCAGGAATTTAATGCGAAGTTCTCAGATTTTGATGTGGTAATGTTGGCACCAACTAAAGATTTCCATCCAAGTTCATCTTGTAAGTTCATCTTGCATAGATTAAGCTGACTTTAAGTATTAAATTGTCTGTATGGATTAAGCTAAAGTGTTATTGTGCTGAACAAACACAATGAATGCCAGAAATGACTGATATCATGGTGTATGACATATTTTTCAGATGATTTGGAGGTGAAGATTGATGTTTTTGGTTTCGGAGTGATATTGCTGCAGCTACTTACCGGAAAAATGATAGATGATTCGGGTGATTTGATAGGAACAACACATCGTTTGCCCGGAGAATATGGGTTTGTTTCGATGCAGAGTATTTATTCTTCGTTGGACGATAGATTAAGATTAAACTTCTTGATGAGAAGACCGGCATTCCAATTAGCGTTACTCGCTCAAAAATGTGTTGTGGAGGAACTGTGGTTGCGGCCGACTCTTGAATCGGCTTTGGAGGAAGTCGAAGAAATCTACGCCATCATGTTAAAATCCGAGAATAGTACCGGCAACTAGAGAGGTGATGACTTCATGATTAATACCCCTTGTAGATATCATTTTGCAAATAGACGTAGTATATCCTATCGCCGTTGTTGGTTTCTGCTTTCGATCTCCCTTTTTTTGATCTGTTTTTTTTTATTTGCCTATACGTGCTCTTATTACATTCTTGGAAAAGAGGAAAATTGGAAGATAGAAAATAGATAAAAAGGAGATTGGTGGCAAGGGCGGTGATGGAGAGTGGATGACGATGGCGCCCTGAGGGGGAGCGACCGTTGGGTGCGAGGGTTTTAAATGGTATTGGGTTTAGGAATGATAAAACTGGTTTAGATTTTCTATCTTTTTTGTGCTTTTTCCAGTAATAAAGTATCATTTTCGGATGTTTTTTCTTGATGGGAACTTTTTCAAGAGCTCAAATATTCTTTTAGATGAGAACTGAGCAACTATGATTTCGGATTTTGGGTTGTTAACGGATCAATCATTTTCGGATATTTGGATCCGGAGTATTTCTGTACCAGAAGACTAACAAGCAAAACCCATGTCTTTGCATTCGGGGTTTTACTGTTTGAATTGCTATCAGGGAGGCTTGCAGTGGACATACGTTATGGTGAGGTGGGGTCGAAAATGTGTGAAAGATCGAAAACTAGATCAAATGGTTGATTCTAGTATCAGGGGAACAATTTTTCCCAAATGTTTAAGACGGTTTGCTCAAATTGCAGGTCGCTGTTTGTATAGTGTTCCAAAAGAACGCCCTACCACGACTAAGGTTGTGGCCTCACTTCAAGTTTTGCTGAAACTACAGGAGAAATATGACAATTCTGCTGAGTCATCCTGCAAAATGGGGTTTGCGTGGAAGATTAATAACTATCTCGTTCCCATGAATAAACAAAGCGGAAGTAGTAGTTCTCAAAAGAGCCTCGAAAACCACATGAATCAAGAATTAGTGACGAGAGATCTAAAGAAGTTCACATACGGTGAACTGCAATATGCTACGAGTAACTTTGGAGATGATTCACGCTTGGGTGACGGGTGTTATGCACAAGTACACAAAGGTTGGGTCGATAAAACATGTTTCCCCATTTAAAGATAATGCCGGATTCCCGTTGCAATTAAGAGAATTCATCTCTACAAAAATGTAAGCCTTAATAAAGGCGAGTTAAGTATCTAGTATGCTATTCGTCATGAATACTCATAAAAGGGTGGTTTCTGAGTAACTAAAATATTTAAGATTCCTAAATGAACCTCCCTCCCATTGCATATATAACTGTTTCATCACAGTTTTAAAACGTAATCAATTGGGAATGCAGTTGGATTTGGAAATGTTGAAAGAGTTTCGTTATCCCAGCCTTGTTAAGCTCTTAGGATACTGCTCGGAATGTGAACAGCTGTTCCTAGCTTATAAATTCATGCCCGATCTGAACTTACAGGATGGTCTGCTTAGCGGTAAGTGGAATAAAAACTTCAAACATAAATCAAATTCGACAACAATTTAACTTTGATGGGTTGTAGGAACTGTTGCGCAACCTCCATTGGATACGAAGGTGAAAATGGCAGTAGGAATTGCTTGAGCACTTGTTTTCTTGCCTAAAAACCTGTTAGAAAGTCTGGACTTAGAAAAACATTTGAATGGAGGTCATTTAGCTAACTAATCGGCCGAGTGGACAGATCTGTGTATACATGCTTTCGAGTAGGATATACTAGGATCATTTGGTTTACTTAGTGACTATACCGGAGAGACGTCTGAACTAGAGTGCAATCTCTCGGGTTTCACAGTGGTATTCACAGAGGTGCTAACAGGGAAACAAGTCTCTAATGAAAAAGAATTCAAGAAGGTTGATGGTTTATGGCTGGAACGTCTCATTACAAAAGTATGTTTTGAAATCTGCAATAAAGGGAATTCAGAAAGACAAGCCATGGAAGAGAGATAATGAATGATCCATGAAAGACTGGCTCTATGTGATGACCGATGAAGACTGGTTTTTGGGTAGGAATGATTGACCAGAACTTTGCACCTGTGGTTCGTGTGGGATTTGGAATTGGATTTTATTCCGATCCTGAGTTTGGAGATTTTATAAAATTTGTTTGTAATAATGTTTTAAAATATGTTTGTATATATTAGTTTTGTAATAATCAATTCATTAGAGGTAATTTAATTATTTATAAATTTTGCGCCATCATGGGATGAAAAATCGCAGTGTCCCAGAAGCATATGCACGATGCTCGAAATGGATATTGAGACTTCGCTTATGGGTTCCCACCTTCTTCTTGTACTATACCGATGGAAAATTTGTCAACATAATTGAAAGAAAGATTAAGAGGCTAAGAGTAGAGATGCACAAAAAAACCCAAAGTCTAAATCCTGGCCTTAAAAATCCCGGGCCTAGTAAGCCCGAAGTCTGGTCTGGCGGCCAGGCCTCGAAGCTCAATCATGCTAAAATTTTGGGGGCATGCCTGGGGGACTAAGCCTGGCTAATCCCGAAAAAGACCAAAACGCCAAGTCTAAAAATCCCAATCAAGCCCTTTTTCAACCCCAAAGCTTAGGCCTTTTTTCCCACTAAAAGTAGGCATTGAAGGCCCGAGCGTTGTGCATCTCTAACTGAGCGGACATTGAATAGAAAAGGTAAAATTGGTAGCATATAAGAGAGGCTAGTCTCACCCAACAAAAAGTAAGCTTTTTTGTCTCATCCGGTCCCATTCCATGGATCAATGAGTTTTTGTGCTATCCCATGTCTCGTCAAACGTGAAACAGTGAGTTCTGTCATATCCCGTCTAGTTTCATGTGCCAAACACAACCTAATTTCTGGATTCCCTCTACTCTCCCTATACTAACAAAAGGTCAAGGGTGGATGTATAACACTTCTTTTAACACTAGAACAAAAACCTCTTGGTCCTCCATTTCTGAAAGCAAAGGTACAGAAATACACTTATTCTTGAAACTTGATCACCCAAATAAAACTACAAAAACACTTTTATTGATATCCCATAATAACCACATAAATGAAGGAAATCTGCTTCTGCAATCCCTACTAATCTAACAAGCTCCCACCAAGATTAAAAACTTCTAAAAATATAACAAAATTTGCAGCTTCATACAAGTGAGGAAATATGACCCTGCATTTAGATTGTCTCCTTCCCCATTTGTCTCATAAGCCATAGAACCACACATTAGCATCGTACAACATAACAATCGATCTACACCTTCAGAAGAATCGACATGATACCAAAATTAGTAGTTACTAACGGTAATTAATGCACTTGTATGTCTTAAGTATGAAATAGATAGGAAACCAAATTTCTTCGTATACAAATGCACAAACCAACATAAACAAATAGTTTATATAAAAACCAAACGAGCCTAGTATATCCCACCTAGAGGTGGGGTTGGGGAGGGGGGTTGTACGCAAACCCAGAGAGTAGAGCGGTTGTTTCTGTGAAGACAACTTGCAAAAAGTGTGTGAAAAAGAAAGCATGCCTGAAAAGGCTGAATAACTAGAAAAAAGAAGTATAAATGGAAGAAAGCTTTCCTAGAAACAAGGCTAGGGAGCACTAAAGAAACAAAAACAGGGGCATAACAAAGGATAAGCAAGTGGTCTATCTTTCTCTCAAACACTGCAATATTTTCTTTTTTAGAAAGTTTCAGAGTTAAAATTACTTACTAGCCACAATCGTTATCGTTATAAATAAGTCACAGGTTACTTATTTCAGTCACACAAGATTCCTTTATTTTGTTTTTGAGCGAAGGGTATTTTAGATATTTGACAAAGAATCCACAACCATTGAAACTTTCAAGGGTCCGAAGGTGTAATAGCTATTGGTTGACAAAGCTGCGAAACTGCACCTAATCAAAGACCACAATCTATGTACACCTAACTGTTCAGTATTTCTTATGCTACATCCTTAGTTTTCAAGCAACCATATAGCCAAAAATTAGCCCGAGAAAACCATGAACTGCCGAAGTCATTCAAGACGTTCAAAAATTGGGAAGGAACCCTAAATAGGATACTAAAGTCAAACCATGGTTAAAGTGCAATGTCTTACGTTTGTAAGATGCTCATTAGCAATCCTGTAAAGAAACCAAATCCTAAGAAAGATCATTGATTGCAAGCTAATCTACAAGATCATGATCCAATATAAAAGAGAATTGCAATTGGATTATCAAGAAATGCCAAATGAAATAAGCATACCATGAATTGGAAACTTATTGCACTGTTCTCAGCTAGTAGAATCTGATTCAGATGGTAATGCAGGTCCATTCCCATTCCCATTCCCATTCCCATTCCCATTCCCATTCCCATTAGGAGGCAATTTCGACAAGACTGGTGCTTCTGGTAAAACGCCCAAATACCGTTCTCTAGTCCCAAACAATTGCTTCCTCAAAACCTCATGCAAATGACCAAACAGCTCTTTCTTCAAAGATTCGAAAGCCAAATCCAATCTTTCCAACTGTTCCATTGCATTCTTATTGTACATAAATAACCCATAATACAACTCAAAACTATCACTTGATGTATTATCCACCAAATCCAACAATCTCTCATACCCTTTTGTGTTAATTGGGGTACTATCCAAATTCAGCTTCTCCAAGATCCTCCCAACTGTATGGGTTATGAATTGAGACTCTGCTGCATGCTGATCATGCTCAGCACAAGTCATCTCCTTCATAATGCACCCTTCTTTGGCAAAAGCATCAAGAAATTTTTGGCAACGCGAAACCCTAGCTTCATCATGCCCAATTCTAACTTTTTCATACACAAATGGAAGATTTTTCCAACTGTTTTTACCACTTTCAGGCCCAAACATCGGATGGGTACAAAGAATATCGAAATCTGATGGCAATATTTGCAAGAACAAATCTTTAGCGAATTCTTTAACAGATAAAACATCTACGAATAATGTGCTTCGTTTCAACCTTTGTAATGGCAATGAGCGGAGTACTTTGTCGGTTGAAAGGATTGATGTGCAGAGGAGGATTACCTCGGGGTGTTCTTCGCAGAGGTCGTCGGCGTTAGAGTAGAAAGAGACGCCAAGCTCTGTTGCCACAGCGGAGTAATCGGTGCGGGAGTGTGCAAGGACGTTGTGACCTTGACGAACTAGGGTTTTCGCAAGGAATTGGCCAAAGTTGCCGAAGCCTACAATGGCAATTTTTAGTGTTTTGGATTTTGCGATGCGGTCGGATATTTTGGATTCGTAGTCGAAGGGTTGAGCTGCGTCTATGGCGGATATTTGGAAATTACGACGGAGGCGTAGGATTTGGATCTTTCGTAGATGAGACGGTGGCGGCGGCGGCGGAGAATGAGATAGAGAGTGGTGGTTGTAGCTGCGACGGTGGAGATGGTGGTGGTCGGAGAGAATGGAGAACCTGGAAATCGTCGGAGAATTGGAAAGCATTTTCCGATGAAGCTTCTTGCCGTGTGAGAGAACGTTAGAAAGAGGGATTTTGACTTCGCCGGCGACGGTAGACTGGTTTTGGTTTGAAAGGAGGAAATGGGAGCTTGTTAAATGGGAACAATTTAGTTGTTATACCTACTGCCTACAACTCTACAAGGGTAATAATGGAATTTCACATTTTAATTTAAGTTTACTATTTTCGAAAGAAATAATTTAAATTACCGTCTAAAACTGCAAATTGTTTGTTTTTTTCTTAGATATATTAAGGGGTAACATCTGAATCATTAAGAGTTGAATATTATTTGAAAAAAAAAGTCTGCTTTTTAATGGTTCTAAAACCCTCTGAATGATTTTGTATCATGAATCTTCCTTAACTATTAAGAGCCCTAATTTCATTGTACACAATTACCAAACAATTATATTTTATTTTGTATTATATCATGAGAGTTACTTAATCATTTTGACCACTTAATCATTCTGCACAAAATCATTCATCAATTGCCAAACAGCCTCTTGTCACACCTCTATTTAAGTGTCGAGAGCTTGTTTATTTTGAGTTCGAGTTTAATAATTTTCAAGTTCGAGTCGATCTTAAATACAAAATAGAACTCATTTAACTTAACGAGTCGAACATAATAACACCAAAATTTGACTTGATTAATTCGAAAACAACTACTCGACTCGTCTCGTTTACACCCGTACTTCTATCACTTAATGTTCATACCGCTCTTTGAAATTGAAAATTGGTGAATTATGATAAAAATCGGATCCATTATCTTTAATTTAACATCCATTTGATACATTTTCTTCATCCGTTTTCTTTTTCGTGTTTTTTCTGTTCTCTGCCGATGTCACTTACACACAGACACATAACATACATAGGTTTAAACGAGAACATGATCAAAATAAGATAACATGAGAACCCTTATATCACATGTGATTCGATTTCAGTCAATGCAGATTTCACTGACAACCGAAGAACGTTGACCAAACATGAATCACATGTGATTTTTAGTCTAGAATCACATGTGATTTTTAATCTAAAATCACATGTGATACAAACGTTCTCGTATTCGTTTGTTTTGATCATGTTCTTATAACTCAACCCTATATTACATATAGGTTTGATATATTTAAAAAAATGTGTTTTATACTATAAACTTTATTTTCTGAATATATATATATATATATATATATGTGTGTGTGTGTGTATATGTGCATGTGTGTGAGAGAGAAAGAGAGAGAGGGGGGGTTTCAAAATAAGAAAGTTAAATATCTTGAAAAACTAAAGAAAAATTATGATTTATTGAAAAACTTCCATTTGAAGAAAAGGATCATTTATAGATAGATATGTGAATTTATATGAATAACTTGTAACGTAGGTTCACATATGCATATTCAAATAGATTTTTTGGATTTTTTTCAATGATTTACATATGAACTATCTCTTCTTATCTCATGATATTTAACATTCTTATTTGAAACGACCTCTCTCTGACACACACACACACTCTCTCTCTCTCTCTCTCTCTCTCTTTATATATATATATATATATATGGAGAGAGAGAAAAAGAAAGAGAGGGACTTGAGATCATGTGAGACCAATCTGTTTTCGTGAGACCAATAAGATTACATTTTTACAATTGAAACTTCACAGTAAAAAAAAGCGAAGGTAACATTCACAATGTTTTTATTGTGAAAATTCGGATTTTTACCTTCACAATGTTTTGCTGTGAAGTTTCAAATGTAAGATCTTTCGGTTCTCACGAAAACAGTCTGACCTCACGTGAATCCAACCCCTAGATATAGATATTTAGTCTTCTTATATTCTCATGATAAAAAAGGACGATTTTAGAGGAGGTTGCATCTGCTCTAGCACTAAACTAGGTTGCATTTTAAACGTGTTCTCTCTCTCTCTCTCTCCATATATATAGCTAATCATTTGAGAACCCATAAGAGAGAATCCATAGAACTACTGCATCATTTGTTATTTTATATGATTTTTTTCATTTACAATATAGATTCAGAGTATTGATTATCATATATTTGTTTTACAATGTGAACATATTTTCCGTGTTTATGAAACAAAAAATACAAATAATTTTTATTGCCATATGAATCAAATCCAATGAGGGATAAAAATCCCCATGTGGTCACAGAGGTTCAAATACGGTGACTCCAAGCTATCTGCAAAGCAGGTGGTCGCCCAGGGATTAGTCGGCTCGCATAGCGGGTTGGATATCCAGGTGAATAGAAAAAATACATGTTAATCAATATCTTAAATTCTAATCTTAGATTAAAAAAATCATATGAACCCAAAGCCCACTTACTATTCATGATAAACAACATGTAATAATAATGAATGTTTATCACATTATTCAGATGAACCAAACCCAACTAGCGATTTCCGACATATCTTTCCTTAAACAACGGTGAAACGTGAAGTTTTTATTACGATCCACCGACTTCGAGCAATTTTCCGTTGAGTCCTATTAAAACGATCAATGTACATGAAAAATAAACACAAGTCCTCATCCTTGGAATATGCTCCTCATTGCAGATTCTAATACATAATTTTGCAACATGACCCAAGAAATAATTTGCACATTGGCGCAACAAATCCTCAATCTCATAAAAATCCTCATAGCAGATTTATCTCCCTGTCACCACCTTGTTAATACCACTCCAAAACCGAATACATCATTCCGTAGGGTACTCGGTTCTGACGATCCTTATTACAAGTATGCCATTGCAAAACGACAACTGAGATTGGGTCGGTTGGGGGGAGCACTACAACAAAATTCAGTTTATAGGATTTCTTTGCGTCCTAAAAGACTGCTTAAGTTATAGGACTTAATCTATAGAACTGAAAAATAATACGTCCATTGTAATAAGTTTTATAAGACGTTTTTTGGGCATGTTCACAAGTTTTTAAGGATACTTTTAGTACAAAGTGTCACATTAGCAACTTTATAGGACAATAAGTGTAATATAAAAACAAATATCCTATAAAAAGATGAGTTTATAGGACACTTTATAAAAGTTGTTAATATGAAGATTTGTAATAAAAGTGTCCTAAAAAACTTGTCAAGACGTGCAAAAACGTCATATAAACCTATTGCAACGCCTTTAGATAGGAATCTTTATCTTTTTGGTCATATAAATTAAGTACACTTGGATATTGGGCACTCTATAAACCCAATTTTGTTGTAACTTATTATGGGTGGCAACTATATTACCTTTTATAATCGAGAATTGTTTTTTTCCATCTCATAACTAAAAGTAAAAAAGCACAAGTGGATACTTATTTTGGGACAAACTAAAATAGAAATGTAGACATTTTGTGGGTCGAAGGGAGTAGTACCTTAGTACCGAAATATGCTACTAACGGAAGACTGAGTTGCTTACATAGTGATAGTAGCTTTAAATTGGATCCACTTTTCAAGTCAAATCTGCTACACGTTATTGTGTTTTTAGACAATATAACATAGACTTGTAAACGACTCGTAAACTTCTAAAAACAAAAACACAATTTGGTAAACGAAGAAGACAATTTTCCCATCCATATTTCATATTTTCTTTACGTGAGGTTCCACGGAAAGTGGAAATGACGAATCATTCTCCTTACGATTTTTCAATGCCTATATAGAGTTTGGATTGTACCTCATCCAACAATATCTTCCGTCTGTCGAGCTCATACTCAACGATTGTTTGCATCCGTATGTCATAGCTCAACGGTTGAAATGGCTCTGAGACAGTGATCTTCATTCAGATGTATATAATTGCATCGACACAAACCAAACTCATTGACGTTTAAAATGTCAAAGCGTCCTAATAAAATACTTTATAGAAGTTGAGTTTATAAGATCAAACTATAACACGTCTTATCTAAAAGCTTTACAATAGGTTTATAAGACGCTTTTAAAGCTTTTAGGTGTTTTAACAAGTTTTTTAGAACGCTTTTAAATTAAGTTCCCTATTAGCTAATTTATAAGATAGTCCTATAAACCGATCTTTTTATAGGAATTATGTTTATGGGACGCTTTTTCAAATAGTGTCGTATAAAATAGGTAATACGGCATCTTAGTCTAAAAACAACCTAAAATACTATTTAGAACACCTAAAAACGTCCTATAAACCTATTGTGACACTTTTAGATAAGATGCATTTTGGTTTGGTCTTATAAACCTAAGTCCTATAAAGTAATTTATCAGGACACTTAAACATTTTAGACGTCCTATAAAACCAATTTTGTTGTACTGACTATGACATGGATGAAAACAGGTAGTTCCTTTGTTTTCTTTTTTGGGAGGTGAAGGTATGGGAAAGAGGATGAAGTAACTTATGCTTACGGGACCAAGGATTGTAGGGATCGTCATTGTCGTTGGTATAGTCCTTCAAAGCTGCAAATTTGTATTTTGTGCATGTATAGGGTTCACTTGGAAGATTCATAAGTATTTTGTTCCCACGACGATTAAACAAAATTACGTTATACACAAACTTTTTGTCAACTCTCTTATGTGCATATTTATGTGTTTATAACTATTTAGCATAAACACAAATTGTCCCAAGGTGTTAAGAGGGGACTCTTCAGAGTGTCGAGTTCCTAGAGAGGAAGACTTTGACTCTGATACCATGTGAGAATATATGGAACCCGCAAGTAACTCTCCAGAAGATCCCTTGAGGAGAAAGGGGAGGTTTCAACGTAAATATAGGAGAAATGGTCCAAGTCTAGCCGATGTAGGACTCCAATACTATTCATAAACCATATTATATAAATTCTATGTTATTCTCATGTTATATCTTTGGCATCCCTTGTTGGTTTTACCTACCACTACAACAAAATTGGATTTATAGGACACCTCAATAATATCTTTAAGTGTCCCAATAGACCGTTTTATAGGACTTAATTTATAGGACCAAAATATAAAGCGTCTTATCTAAAGGTGTTGTAATAAGTTTATATATATGACGTTTTTTGGTGTCTTAACAAGTTTTTAGGACATTTTTAGTACAAAGTGTCGCATTAACAACTTTATATGACACTTTTGAGAAAGTGTCCT